ATGGAAGGAGAGAGGAGAGGCTGGGTGGATGTGTCTGTTCCGGGAGGGTGGGTGGCTGAGTAGGTAAGTAAGTGGGCGAGGGCGCTTTCCCCGGCGGAGAGAGGCCGGGGCTCAGCCTGTACATCTGCCCCCACCCCACCCCCCGCATCCCTCCTCCACCTCCTCCTCCTTCAGCGCGTGGGAGCCATTGCTGGTGCTGCCGCGGGCGCGGGCGCGGGGCTCTCGAGGAAGGCGGCAGCAACGGCCGGCGGGGGAGACACCGGGCAGGTAGGGCAGGCGGGCGGGGGCCGAGGGGCGAGGGCCCCCGGGAAGCGCTCCTGCTCCTCCCTGGACGGTCCTGCCCTTCGGAGGCCGCGCGGCGCGACCGGGCTGCGTGCGCCTGCGGCCCCGGGAAGAAGGGCCCCTTTCTGCCCGGGCGCGTCCTTTCTGTGCGTCTTCGGCCGTCCTTGTGTCCGTGTGTGTGTGTCTGTGCCTATGTGTCTTTCTCTGTGTGTGTGCCTTTCCCTCCTTCTCCGTGCGCTGTGGCTTCTCCGTGGCACAAGCTGCCATCGATGCGCTGGTGCACCACCACCACCCGCCAACACACATGCACGCATGCAGCCCGGCACCACCTCATTTTTCCTCTTTTGATCGATACAGATTTTCTCTCTTCCATGTTGGAAGAAGGAGAGGGGTGGGAGTTATAGGTGTGGGCCTTCTTCTTTATGTTTCCCACGGGAGGGGGGGAAGTTTCTCCGAGGGAGGGGCCGGACTTGAGGATTCCTGGAGCTGAAGAGGCGGTGGGGTGCGGATAGAGGTGGGGAGGCCGAAGGAGAGAAGCGAGGAGGGCAAGGGGGGCGGCAAAAGGGGGAGTCGGCGGCTCCTGCGCCTCGCCCACCGGGCCTCACAACTCCCCCCCCCCACGTTGGGATGGAGCCGAAGTTCCTCGCTTCTTTCTGGACCCTCGGAAGAGATGCGGGGGGTGGGGGCGTCGGGCTTGGTTCGTCCGCCTCCTTTTTCCAAGCCGGAGTCAAGAGCCGGTTCGGGGCTGCCTCGCCCCACCCCCCATCCCCACCACACCTCCGATCGACCAACTCCCTTCACCCCCTCTCCCTCTTCCGGGCCGCCCAAAAGCCTCCTCTCCTCGGTTGTGGCTCGGTATCCCCCACCACTCCTTAAGACTGGGGGGGGGGATTATAAACTAAAAACGCAAACACCCTCCCCCTTATATTTTTCATAACTGGTTTCGACGCAGAAATCACGGCAACTTTGTAAACCTCTGCTGGAAGTCCCCGGCGGTGTCGGTGGGGTGGGAAAGCGCCTGGAGGACCAGGCAGAGAGAGAGAGAGAGAGAGAGGCAGACAGACCAGTTCGTTCTCGGCAGCCTGAGCCTACCTGTAACTTCAGGTACCTGCTTCCTCCTGCCTCCTTTCCTTCCCTGCGTTTCCTCCCAGCTCCAAACCCTTTCCTCTTCGCGGGCCCTGCTGTTCCTCCTGTGCATTCCCCCCACCCTCGAATCTGCCTCGCCCCATGCCTCTGAGCGGCTCTGGTCCCCGAGGGGCCCCGGGGGGGTGAAGGGGGGTTCCTGCCTGTGTCCAGGGTCTCGGGATCCCCACCCCTTCTTTCTGGGGTGTCGAGCAAAGGGCCTGTGCCGAGGGTGCGACTGTTCCGTGTGCGATTATTCTCTCTGTGTCCGTCTCGTTTGGCCGTGTGTGTGTGTGTGTGTGTGTTTCTCCTGTGTGTTGGTACGTGTGTGTTTTGTTAGGAATGTGAGCTTTCCCTTCCTTCCTACCATCTTATGTGTATGTGCGCGCGTGTATGTGTAGAAGTAAGTCCTTACAGAGAGGTGCATGTCACATGTACAAATTGTGTGCGCGCAACGCAGCAGAGGAGTGTGCTTGTGTATGTTTCGTGGTTGTGGAGAGAAATCCAGATTCTTTGAAAGTTTGTGCCTCGGTCCCCATTCACTTGACCTGGAAAAGGGGCTGCGTGTGTCTTTGGCCCGCTCTGCCGGCCTCAGATCTCTTTCTCAGCCTCCCCATAAGCAAGTCCAGCCCAAGTTCATGCCCTCCGTGCGTTCACACGCAAGGCCTCCACTTTGCACAGCCTTCCGGCTCCCGAGAGTTGCCGTCTTCCCGATCGGCTTCTAGGCGAGCCCATCTGCTTTGAGGTGCCCGTGCCAAGCTTCTGTCGTTCGTCTTGCCGCGAGCTGCCCGAGGGAGGGGGTTGCTCAGCCGAGGACTCCAAAATGTCATCCCCAACTCTTCCAAGACCCCCAGTCTAGGAGACACCCCCCGCCCCCCCACCCCGCACCCCTGATTCTCCCTCCCCAACTCGCTCACCCTTTCTCTCCTGTTTCTCTCCCTTCTCAGATAATGTTATGGATATTGGCTTAGCCAACGACAAGGCCGGCCAGGACTTGTCCTCTTACTCGGGCTCTTTCCAGCCGGCCCCCGGGGGCAACAAGACGGTGACCTACCTGGGCAAGTTCGCCTTCGACTCCCCGTCGAACTGGTGCCAGGACAACATTATCAGCCTGATGAGCGCCGGCATCCTGGGGGTGCCGCCGCCGCCGCCCTCCTCCACCGCCCAGGCCTCGACGGGCAGTATGGTGCAGGTACAGACTCAGGCCGAGGTGGAGGGCATGTACCCGGCGCTGCCCCCTTACTCCACGTGCAGTGACCTTTACCCGGGCGATCCGGTGCCCTTCCACGACCCGCAGGGCGGCTCCGGCCTCTCCTACTCGGCTCAGGATTACCAAGCGGCCAAGCCCGGCGGCGGCGGCGGCGGCGGCCTGGACAGCAACCTTTTCCCCATGATCCCGGACTATAATCTCTACCACGGCCATCCCAATGACATGGGCAGCCTTCCCGAGCACAAACCTTTCCAGAACCTGGACCCCATCCGGGTTAACCCGCCCCCCATCACTCCCCTGGAGACCATCAAAGCCTTCAAGGACAAGCAGATCCATCCGGGCTTCGGCAGCCTCCAGCAGCAGCCGCCGCTCACCCTGAAACCCATCCGGCCGCGCAAGTACCCCAACCGGCCGAGCAAGACCCCCCTCCACGAGCGGCCGCACGCCTGCCCGGCCGAGGGCTGCGACCGCCGGTTCTCCCGCTCCGACGAGCTCACGCGGCACCTGCGCATCCACACGGGCCACAAGCCCTTCCAGTGCCGCATCTGCATGCGCAGCTTCAGCCGCAGCGACCACCTCACCACCCACATCCGCACCCACACGGGCGAGAAGCCCTTTGCCTGCGAGTTTTGCGGGCGCAAGTTCGCGCGGAGCGACGAGCGCAAGAGGCACGCCAAGATCCACCTCAAGCAGAAGGAGAAGAAGGCCGACAAGGGCTCTTCTTCTTCCTCCTCCTCCTCCACCCCCTCCGCCTCCTCCTCTTCCTCGGCGGCCGCCGCCGTCCTGGCAGGGCCCGGGGGCGGCGGCGGCGGCGGCTCGCCCGCGGTCTCCTCGCTGGTCCCGGTGGTCACCACTTGCGCGTGACGCTGCTCCCGCCACCCCACCGAGTCCCAGTGCCTCCCGAGCCAGGCTGCCTTTGGTTGCGACTTTGCGCAAAACCCGCGCAGGAGCGGCGGCGGCGGTTGCTGGCCTCCCCGCCGGGCTCCCACCCAAGGGATGCCTTTGCGCGCACCCCTCCTGCCGCCGCCGCCGCCGCCGAGCTGCTGGTGGGAGGGAGCCTTGAACTTTCCGCCGGATCGTCTTGATCCGCCGCGGCTTAGCAGGGGAGGGGAAGCGGGGGCTCACCCACTTCTCCCGGAGGATGAACTGTCGTCGGGAGGGGACGCGTGGTGGTGGGGGGCTCGGTCTGGCACGTGTGACTGAGGAGGGAATTGGATGGACACGGGAAAACAGCCCTGGACTCACCCTCCCTCCCTGAAGCCCATCCCTTGATCTTCCTCCTTTTTTTTTCTCCCCCCTCCCATAGAGGGGGGCACCAAAGCGCAGTGCTTGCTGCCCGTGGAGACCGTGCGCACGCGTGTGTGTTTTGGATGTATGTGCGCGCGCGTGCGTGTGTGTTTGTGTGTTAGCCTCAGGAGCTAGCTACATGGGGTGCTTTTACCAATTTGATGAATCCCGCCTCACATCTAGAAGACTCTGTTTCCGGCAGAGAGAAAACACCCGGCGTATCTGGCCCATCCCTATCCCCTTTCCAGCCCGTCTCCCCAGGAGGAGATGGAAGAAACGGGGCAGGCTCAGCCTTTGAGGACTCCCAGGACTTTTCAGGATCCGGCGGGACCCCGGTGGCTCTTGCTGCCGGCTTCCCTCCTCATGGCTCGGACAGCTCCTCCTTGGTGTGACGGAGGGGCCTTGCTTTTCCAGGCACTTCTTGCCATGCCTTGGGAGCATCCTTACTTACAACATCGGGGCTCCTTTAACAGATTTTCATCTCCCTCCCTCCCTCTCTTCTCCTCCTTCTCTTTTTGACTTCTAAACTCTACCACCGACCACCCACTCCCTACTAAGGCCACCTCCACCTTCCCACTTACACTCCCCAACCCCCGCTCCAAAGCTACAGGTGTCCTGTCTCTCCTGCGCCTCATCTCCCATACTTTCCTTAGCCTCCCCTTGCCATTTTTCCTTTACCGCTTTGGGAATGAATCATGGGTTGGGTTCTATAGGCACTGTCCTCCATCTCTCTCTTATTTACGGCGTAGTGTGTATAGGCAGAGCATGTCTACCCCAGATGCTGAATAGTTGAGGGAAGGGGGAAACAGAACACAGGGGGTGGGTAACTGGGAAAGCCGGTTCAGACATTCTGAATTTGATTTCCTCTAAAGGAGGATGGTTGGACAGTGTCATCGAAGCTGCCAACGTGAATTTGACCCAACTCTGGTTAGGCAGTGGAAGACAGGAGGGCCTGGCGTGCTCTGGTCCACGGGGTCTCGAAGAGTTGGACACGACTTAACGGCTAAACAACAACAACAAAAGGAGGATGGGGGGGGAGCATTGATTTAACACTCCTTTTGATTTGTCACTCCAAGCCCATCTCCCAGTCACCCTCCATTGGCTGTTCTGAATGTAGGGTCCGGATCGAACCCCACCCCCAAGAAAATGGGAAGTGGGAAGGAACCAGAGGTGGCTTCTTTGTTTCCTACCTGACTTGAATGTACTGCTGATTCTGACCTATCCATTTTCCACTGTCGACCTGGAGGAGTCTAATAGAGTTTACAGGACGTCCGTTTTGAGGGTCACTGTACGCACACACACCCTTGCCCTTCTATTCTGTGTAAAGCACTTGTGTGTGTGTGTGTGTGTGTGTGTGTGTGTGTGTGTGTGTGACAGAGAGAGAGAGAGAGAGAGAGAGAGAGAGAGAGAGAGAGAGAGGAGAGAGAGAGAGAGAAAAAACCTGTTGAAAAGACCCTTAAGACATGAATGGGGCATTTTCCAGATCCTTCTAACACACCCTGGGAATGTCATTTTTAGGCGAGAGGGCTATTGGACTTCAATTTAGGGGTGGAATTTTTTTTTTAGCACAAGGACAATTATTTTCAGAAAACAGTGTTTTATAGGGTACTTTTTATAATGTGATTTTTTTTGTCCTGATTTGTTTGAGGGTCGTTTAAAGAAAAAAAAACTGAAGGGGAGGGAAAAAAAGTTTGCCTTCTTCCTACTGCTACGTGCATGTCATTGCATGTCTTGCTTTGTTTTTTCTCTTTTTTGTTTTAACAAAACTGCTCAGATATTTAAGCAAAACAATGATAATAATTATTAAAAAAAACTTGTTGCCAAAAGGTTGTGTTTTATTCAGGTTTGATGTCTGCATGTTTTAAAACAAATGAAAGTGAAAAAAAATTCTCAGAGAGAGAAAAATGCAGTCTAATTTATGTGAACTGAAAGAAACAAAAATCAGGTTTAACTACAAAAATCTAAGGGAATGATATTTTTTGAAAGACTTTTGTATAAAGTTGAGTACCGGGGGGAAAGACAAACCAGATGTAATATATTTTGTGGATGTTTTTATTTCTTGGATTTATAGTACCTTATACTAAGGTTAAAATGCTTGATATTGTGGAAAAAAGTGATAATTTTCACACACATTTCATTTGCTCATTTGTCATGTTGTAATGCAAGTATGATAGTTAATGCATACAGCATTTTAAAGGGGGAAATCAGAAATATTGAACTGATGTATTGTTGTACCATTTGCACTGTGAGCAAATGCTAATGCAGTAAATATATTGTGTTTGCTGACAATCAAATCCTTGTAGTAAATATCTTTATTTTTTCTTTTTAACTATCATTGTGTGTGCATATTCTATGTTACATGGTTCCTGAAATGAAATTTGCTCAGAAGTGGGATATCAGACATTATGAGTTCTCATAGGTCTCATCTGGAATTTGTTTTCCTGTGTTCTGTTGTTTCTGGCGCTACTTTGAAGTGTGCTTCGTGCTTGGTATTTTATTGTTTTCTGGGTCAAGATATAAGGCTTAATGGTCATTGTGGCAGCACCTTAATTTCATATCCTTGGTTTGATGAAAAATGTGTTGCTCCATTGTTTCTGCTAATCAGAGATGATAGGGAATATCAGCCAGGAATGAGTCACAAGCACATTTATGTGGAGCTGAGCTCCACTGAAATAAAAGGGACCTAACTGCCAAGTAATTTTATTTAGAATCACTCCCAGTTCTCTGTCATTTAAACCTCTGCTCTAAGGAGTATCTACCTATGGGCTTCGGCTCCGCCTTCCAGTGTTCATTTTTGTACTGGAGTATTGCTTGTTGTGTTCTTTAAAATGTAGTATTTGTAGCTTTAAAATAGTTGCCTCCTTGTTATATCTGCCCCTTATCCAGCTGAAGTTTGTAAGAGCTTTTTCACAGGGACTCTGTGGCTGAACAGTATCAAGCTACTCTGTATCACATGGACATCCAATTCTTTTTTGCATTTTATTTTAGAAATTGAATGGACGGTTCCAGATACAGACATTAAATCACAATTACAGAGCCACATGAATTCTGCATAATAGTTGAACACTTAAGAGTTTCTGTGGGGGGTTGAGGGCACTGGAGAAAATGACCATTAATGGCATGGCATGTGAGAACTGAAAACATTTCCATATGTATGCTAGCAGTTATTAAAAGGGCAGTGGTGGTGGGAAAAGTTCATTAGAAGATTATAGAAAACCAGGACTATGAAATATATACGCTATCTTATTTCTCAGTGTCCCCCATTTTGATTCCCCTTCACCCCAGATGCTTGAACTTGAAGGTCTCGCCAGTCTCTGCCAGTGTGTGGCCCGTGGTCAGGAATATTGGAAATTGCCCTTCAAGACTTCTGGAGGGCACCAGTTTGGGAAAGTCTGTTATACATGGATGGCCTGCTAGGCTATATAGCAAATATTATGGCATTCTGGTCTGAATTCATAAACATCAAGAGAAATGTGAGTAGAAAGTGGAGAATACAATTTGAGAAAATGATCTCCCTGTTGTTTCATGAAGGCAAATCGCCTGTCATAGAATTTGTGCTTGTGTTATGTTCATATTTACTGTTTGTGTATCTTCTGGGTTTTGGAAATTAAGGAAGAAGAAATATTCAGACCTTGAATACTTGGCTGATTTTTGCTGACCAACCTACCCCCCCCCGCCACCTCACATTAAGCTGGCAGCACTCTGTTCTCATGGTTATTTGTTTCATACAAAGAGATCAACTGCAGGGTCATTATTCTGGCTTGTAGATCAGCTGGGAGTCTGAAGTGTGCTTATTTGTGTGGACACACCCATAAATCTGGACAGTCCAGGAGATAAAGCTTTTTTCTGGAATGTACCCTTTTAGTACAGGGGTGATAACCTTTGAAGGCTACCCTCATGCAAGGTGAAGGGGTGAGAGCAGGCCTTTGCACATTGGCCTAGACTTGTCAAACAGTCTGCAAAAGGTATCTCCATGGCATGTGAGACTTTTTAAAAAAAGAAGGGGAGGGGGGAAAAGAGAGAGAAAGATCTGCATGGAGGTGTATATGTGTGTGTGTTTTCCTGTGGGGGTCACATATGCACTTTTTCTGCCTTAGTAGGGAGGGAATGATCCATTCCAGGAAAGGCTTTACATTTACTTTGGTTATTACTTAAACTGTTCCAGAGGAATAGCTCAACCTTCACAATGGCAGGACTACCAAATCTGTTTCCAGCATAATGTGTCTGCAGTCATGAATGGTCTTTCAACTGAAACAAGTTCTCTTGCCTGCCCCAAATCCCTTGAAAACACCTCTCCCCNCCGTGCCTATTCAGTGCCTTCGGGAAATCCGTAGGTTTGGATGCTGAAATAATTAACTATTTCTGACTAGTTCAAGCATGTGAACATGCACTGATTTTATAGACAAGCAGACCATTAGTGGACAAGTGCATGTTGTTTGGTCTAGCTAGTGGCAGATCTGGAGGCTTTCAGAGTCTTTTCCAGGCCTGCTGCTTAGGGTCATTTTGGCTGAAAAAGCCTAAGATCTTTACTATATTAAGCACATATTTTATCACTGACCTGCTGTCTCCCTTTCTATCCTGTTGACAGTGTTGTTATTTTTGTAATATAGTAGTGGATTAACCACGGACAACAGTAATTTAAATTAATTTTCATGTTTTACCAACATACATGATAAATCAGAACAGGAGTAAGTCTGAACCAATTTTGCAGCCCGGAGAAACTTTTGAACAAATCATTGTAGGCCTCTTTAATTATTTTTAAATGCTAATCTTCTGTAGATTGTAAGATGTACAAAAAGTTAGAAGAGGTTATCAAACTAACATCTGATATCCGTGATTTCAGTCTCATCCTCTTTTTCTGCATGCTGCCCTATTTCCCAGTTGCACCTCTCTGTCCCAAGGGAATAAAAGAGTTGTACAGCTGTTGTTGTTTGTAGAACAAGCATGTTGCATTTGAAAATCCAAACTCAACTTCATTATTTTATTTACTTATTTTGTTCCTTCTAGTTCTTCTTTCTTGCTGTTAGTGACAGGAATCAAATCACAAAAATAGCATTTATATGCTCTGATTGAGCATGAGAATATTTTAGACACACAAACTTATGTGCAGGCATTGATAAATCAGGTCAGTCTAAATGAGGAATTCTGAAAAGGTGATTGCTGTTTCATTTATTACCATTGTATATGAGCATATCTGTACTGGTGGTTGACGTAACTAAGTGAAATCCATTTGGTACATAGAGCTGTGAATTTTTGGATAACCTTTGTCTTTCAAAACAAAATAATTTATTTTAATTTCTTTTAAAAAAAACAGAAACACCCAAGCACTTTAATCTATAACCAGTTTTCTTCTTCTGCATAACATATATACATTTGCACATGTGCGGTATACATTTTTGTTATAAGTCACTTTGAGGAGAGAATTACCACTCTTCATCAGGTCAACCTATACCTTGGTCTCCTTTTCTTTATTGCTTGCCATCTGAGCCTTTGTAATATTTTGTCCCACTTGAATTATATTCACTTCTGATCTGTGTAATTACCCTTCAAGCAAT